CCTTGACCCAGTGTTGACGTCACACTTCAAAGAAGCCATGTGACAAGTCTCACTGGGTCAGTCTACTGAGGAAGACCAGAGTGACTGGTCGACAGCTCTGGGTAAGAGAACTTTTTGTGTCAGATATAAAGTTTTAACGAGATCGGTATGTACTTTTCCCTTCACCTAGATGACCCAATCAATGGCCGAGTGGCTAGCTAGGTGAACACGAGATCCACAGGTCATGGGTTCGATTCCTTGCATTCCTGGCCTGACGTTGTGCCTTTAGAAAAGACATTTTCTTACCTCAACCCAGGTGTAAAATGGGTACAGTTTTAGAGGTTGGAAGAGAGGGTTGGTCACCACCTTCCAATAACCGTGCCCTCGACACAGTAAACTCACTGCCCCTACGATCTCGATTCCTTGCATTCCTGGCCTGACGTTGTGTCTTTTGGAAACTTTTAAGGCACTTTCTTTACTTCACCCAAGGTGTAAAATGGGTACCTAACTTCAGTTGGGGGAGGTAAAAGAAACTAGAAGTAGAGGATTGGGCTTTGGCTTTTAATGACACAGTGAGTGATCAACTCACTGACTGCCCCACGGCCTCAAAGGAGCTACGGCACTACATTTACCTGACCTTGTAGAATATCCAAGATGTAGGCACGTTCGGTATGTTTTCATTTTCTGATCTATAGTTCTTCAGACGGCAGAAGTTGCCGGCAAAGTGGCCGGCCACGTTCCTGCGTGTTTGACGATCAAAGATTAAAGCATTCCAACCGTTCCTGTTCTGTCGCTTTGACCGACATCCCGCCAACCTAGTTTGCCGTCGGCAAACATCAAGTTAACCACAGAAGTGTGTGTTCAACATTCAGGTCACAAAACACGTAAATTTAGTGCTGTTTCTTTATTATGTTTACCTTCGCAAAAGAAAGGCGTATTGTTTTCGCTCTGTTTCTTCTTCAATACAAACAAATAGGGTCAATGACCAGGACCAGACGTCTGTCACCATGGTAACTGTTGTTGGGTTACAAAATGGTGACATGCAGAACTGAGTTCAAGAGGGACTGCATGGTCACCATATATATGAATGTTTTTGAGTAAGAATAAACTAAGCAGTAGTTTCTTAAGCTGTACCATGTGAAGGTAAACATGATGCATTTGCAAATGTTACCTTTCTAGTTTTACTGATTTTTTTGCTCTTTGTTTCTTGCCCTCCATCAGCCATACTGCTACAGTGACAGCGACTGTGATGCAGCAAAAGTCTGTGATAAACATTCGTTCTTATTTCAAGACTACGGTTTGTGTCGGGTAAGACGTTTCTGTATCAGAATGAATCATGTTTCTTTCATCATAATATCATAAAAGTTCATCTGTGCTGGTAGTTACATGTTTAGAGTTAAAACTTTGGATCCAATACAGAAATTATCTCATCTAGAGCTTTCGACCAGTCTTTCATTATAGGTTGCTCAATTCTTCAGATTAGGATGCTGGCAATATTTCACAGAGATGTGCTTTGATCTGTGAAAGCTGTGACAATTGCTTTGATATGAACCATTTGCTGTAAGGTCTTCGTAAGGTCTTAAAAAGTGGGATCCTTTGTCTTCAAAAAAAGAAGTCAACGCCAGTAGTTTTTATAAGTAGTTTCTTAGTAGTTATCAGTAGTTATATCTGTACTAATTGTCTGTTTTTATATACAAATGTACCAAATGTTTCTTCTGTTCCAGCAATTAGCCCTCGGGCATGAATTTGCAATGAAACAATTGTCTTAATTAACGGTGTGATGTTGTTGACAGTTTCAGTATTGCTACCGAGATCAAGACTGTAACGACTACGATAACAGCTACTGCGACACGTTCTACTCATTCGGCATGGGCGTGCGGCATTATGGAGTCTGCATTCGGGGTGGGAAAGTACAAAGACCGAACCGTGGCAACACGGGGAGACCGGGACCCCCTGTAAGTTTTATGCTGAATTTTGATATTTTCATACATGCTAAAGAGGAATGAATTTGCTCTTAATGTCCTGCTGGACTTTTCTCACACAATGTTTTCAAATAATTTGAAGTCTTAATTAGATCATAGTCCCCCAATTCTTTTTTGCCTTGTAGTGGCATAGTGACTTCCACATTCGTTGAGTTGCTGCGGTGTGATGCGTTGCACGAGAAATACCCCCAAATTGTACCTATACAGAGTGCTATATACTTTTAGTTGGTACTGTATGTGCAGAACATCAATTGTTGTGCTCCGCAGGACAAGGGTTAAAGCAACAGGCAAACATTGTAGGAAATGAACAATGCGGTATCAAATTTTGTGGTTGATGTCTTTAATCTATAAATGACACGACATCACACATGTACTTACAGACTTTCTTAATTTGCTTGCTTCTAGGACCTCGGATCTGGATACTACGGCTGAGCAATTCTGTCGACACTCACAGTGAAGTTTACAGACAACCAATTACAGTGAAATTTAAAGCTATTGTGGTCAATACGACTACAGCTACCATTCAGTGAAAGGTATTTTTGGTTGAGATGAAAGACAACCGCGACTTCCATCTCTTGGTTAATGTAAGATATTTGTTTCGGTGCTATTTTTTGTTGACGTATATGTTTTATAGAATGAATATGACATAACGTGTCAATAACTGCTAAAACAGATGTCGGAAAGGATAGGTTATATTATTCGTCAGACTTGTTTTTTGAAGTCATCAACAGATAGTAACGATTTTAGGTTCTGCAGCCTGAAGGACAAGATGACTGTCTTGCCTGCCAGGATGCAATATATACAATGGGACCAGAACTTTAAAATATCCACGATACAGGTCAGGTTAATGTATGAATAGCAAAGTTCTTTGATCACAACCATTTATTTTCACGAGCCGACGTTTGGATGACCGTCTGTCATCTTCATTATGGCAATTCTGACTGGTTTACCGGCACTGACGCTAGATGTTAAGGGTTTCGTATAAGGTTCATCTAGCGTCAGTGCACAGTAAACCAGTCAGAATTGCCCTGATGAAGATGACAGAAAAATAAATGGTTGTGATAAAAGAACTTTGCTATTCATTCGTTTATCAACCTGATGAATTTTTTTACAGATGTAGGCCAATGTAGTTTTGCAACTTAGCTCTTCACATCTGTAACTTTTTGTAAGTAGCTAAAAACAAGATGACCATGTAATTATCAGTGGGCAAGCTGTATTCAGTATGTCGTTTGCAATGATTTCGTTGAATCAAGCACAATGTTTTGATGACATGTTTGTAATTTTACATTTTCATGTTTTTTTTTTATCATATACGTTTTGGCTGCTAGATACGCTCTAAGCCAATGGCTACGTGGAATTTTAGCATAATAAAACGAACCTTATACGAAACCCTTTATATTGATTTGTACAATATATCACAAATTATGCTGCAAAAAGACGCTTGTGGAAACATTAGGAAAACAATGTGATCTTTTTTCATGCCTTAGCATTTTTAAGTATTGATCCGGACTTGTTCTTTTACCTTCTCCGCTTTCTGTAGCCAACTTGCTTCTTATGAAAAGAAAGAATGTGATCAGCCGAAAGGTTCTTTATAAGAAAGAAGAAGCTGGATTTCTTACTGTTACAAGAAGATTATCATGTAGAAATTACTTTCAGCAATTCAACATATCCAATATTAAACAAAATCCTTATGAAATGTATTATTATGCATCAATATTACGGTAAGCTATCATTTTTGTAAAATATCTTAGCAAGGGAAAAATAAACCTGTTTAGTCTCATCGTGGTTATTGAGAAATCTTTTGTTTTCTGTCCTTAGATGAGAAACCCTTCTTTGTACCGCAGATTATCATTGACTTGTTTTAGCTTTATCTTGTGAAGCCGACCTCGGCTTTGTAATTTTTTCCGCGCAGAGGTTGGTTCCATCCTGGGTTCAAAGCGCCACAAGGAAACTCTGGTAAGTTGAAAACTTTCAAAACTGCATTTCTTGCTTAACGCACGACATTTGGGGGAACCGGCACAGTTAGACATACATGTAGTTGCACAGAAACTAGATATGTACTTCTTGATCCATTACTA